AATAAATGAACTTTTCCACGACATTCTAATTTATTGAGATGCACCTGTATATATATACTTGTATGTTTTTGTATAGTGATTTCTACTTAAGAAGTTGTTATGTTATTGTAAATGATGTATTGAAATGATACTGTTAATGTTGCCATTAATTACTGTGTGTGTATATATATATATATATATATATATATATATATGTATGAAGAGTTTTTTGCAAAAACAGATAACTTTATGTTTTTATTGTGTTAGTTAGTTGTATTTTTTTTGTTATTTTGTTACCTAATCAAAATAACCCAACTGCAGTTTGATTGAGACTAATTAGAATGCACAATGAAAAATGAACTCTTCATATATATTAGAATGATTTCTGTAGGATCATGTGACACTGAAGACTGTAGTAATAGCTTTGCCATCATAGGAATAAATTACATTTTAAAATAAATGAAAATATTTTTTTTAATTGTGATAATATTTCAGTATTACTTTTTTACTGTATTTTTGATCAAACAAATAAAGCCTCTGTGAGCGCAAGAGACTATATACTGTATATATAGGAATATTTTACAACATGCTATTTGATTAGTGCAGCTTATCTGTTCCCATCACTTTGTCATTTTGACATTTCTGTGGAGATTTCCCATTACTGATGTTTATCATCGGCTATGTATACTGTTGTTGAATCATGAATTACTCAGAATGTGTGTTCATATGCCTCATTAGGAGTATCAAGAGGAGGCACACTTACACTGAGGGACAACAAAACCACTCGAATGGCCAAAGGTAATAACACTGATGGACATTTGCTCTTGAAATAAGAATATACCAAACTAAGAGGTCCTTTCGCATTTTTGCTATGGTCCACTGCGTTCTCTCAGTAAATTAAGAATTACTTTCGAAGATTATTCGAGTCAGTGAAGTGATACAATATAGAGATCATGCTGACCTGGATGTGCATGTGCCTCATTCACAAATACATTACGTTTTCAACTGTAACCGATTTATAAATAGTCATGTTGTGTCAGAGGACAACTTAATCTGTTCCTCTATGTTTCCGGATGATGTACATAAGTAATACGTCCTGCAAATCTTTTACACAAACTCTTCTTCAGCTACATTAGATCTTAGCTGCAGTAACAAGATTTTCCAGTGTCGTCTAACTGGATTTCACTGTGAAAATCTACCCTGGGATGCTGGTTCTAAACAGTATATCATGGAAAAGTGCTTATTTTGCATCTTTGACTAGAACGGAACTTAATTTTCCTATAGCTCTTTGTACAAATAATAACATTTATTACATTTTGTCTCTCCCAGAGGATGATGTGAAATGAATATGTGAGTAATATCTCTTCTGTAATGTGTGTAGATTACATAAAGGCCTCCATGTGTAGCTCCAGCTCGTGCTCCCTAAATAGTGAGAACCCATACGCCACCATCCGAGATCCACCCAGCCTGGCCTGCAAGCACACTGAAAGCAGCTACGTGGAGATGAAGTCACCTGCTCACAGAGACCTGACCTTCTGCTCCAGCACTAGCACAACCCTGACCACTGCCAGCAGGAACGTCTATGACGTGGGTGAGTCTCATGTATGCAGATGGGGACTTGCTTCTTATAGAAAGTCTCCAATTCTCTCATCTTTGTCTCTTGTTGTTAGTACAATGTACAATATGGAAACACTGTCCTTCACTTTCTCAGTAATGAGAAGAACAAATTGCATTGTGATTCCTATAGGAAAGACAGGGGTTTTGCATTGTTGTTCACAGATCAACTTTGTCCAAAATAGTTCTGAAAATATCTGTTGCCATGTGTCATTCATTAGGCTAATAAATTAAAAAAGAGAAATTACAACTGCGTAACTCAGAACAATAGGCTTATTTATTCGTAAATAAATAAGCCTATTATTCTGAGCTGAGAAGTTACACTTTCATTTTTTTATGTAATTTGTACTTCAATATTCAGGTGTATGTTTACTTTTTATTTTATTCATAAATAAAATAAATTTGTATGTGTATATATTTTAGTTAGATGTCATAATATTATTATAAAATATTCATTTTGAAGTGTAATTTAAAAAAAGTGTAAATGTTGCCATACACAGTATAAATAAAATAAACGCATACATACTGTAAATATATTAATATATCTATTTATGTATGTTTTTACATTTTATATATATATATATATATATTAATATATAATTATAATATTATATTATATTTAAGCTTTATTTCAATTACCAAAAATTATTTTAAGTTTTACATTGCTGTCTATATAAAATAAATAAAATAACATATATTGAAATATATACTTTATTAAAATAAAATAGCTTTTGTAAGGTTTATTATTATATAGATGTTTATGCATAAGTATATTTATGCTTTATGTTTTTAATTAAGCATTATTAATGAATGAGACCCGATATTAAAATATAAATGATAATACACTCAATTTTAGTTTTTAAATGTTTGAATGGGTCAATTTATTATCCACTTATCAATTTATTTAAAAAAAAAAACATGAAGTTATTTAAAGGAAAAGTTGTTTGACCATTTTCAATTGTACTATAAGGTTGCCATATTGCAATATTCAATCCCATTATATTTTCCAAATTTATGTAAAAATATCTAATGAGAAAGATAAAAAAAAAAAAACATCTTTAGAATATAATCTACTGCATACCATAGACAGAGCTATAGTTTGATTTAAAGATTCAGAGAGAGTTTGAGAAATCAAGCCGCTCACCCCTCGCCACCCTTCTTCCTCAGAACCGACAGTGAGTGTTCTTCAAGGACCCAACGGCCTGGCGACCGGATTCTCGCAGAGTCCTTATGACCTCCCGCGGAACAGCCACATTCCCAGCCACTATGACATCCTGCCAATGCGCCACAGCCCTACACACACCCCACCCCCTCCAGAGAGCCCCCCGAGCTCCCTGCTGTAGAGCCCAGTCCTGCCCAGCCCAAAAACACAGACGCAAGGACCTCGATTTTTAAAATCTCTCTTTCTCTTCAACAATCATTCAAGTACAGATGCATGACATACCGGACATGACACAGGAGAAGAGAGTATTCCTCTCTGAGGATTGTGGGAAATGAATTGTACATCAAAACAAGAACAGATTTGGACACCAGCGATTATTCACCATCCTTCTCAGAGGCGTTTTATAACAAGCTGTGCATATAAAAGCAGCATTCTTTGTTTATAGGTCTCTGAAAAGACTTTTAAAGGGAATAAAGGAGCGTTTGAGACGCTTTCATGGAAACATACGATATGTTGAAACTTAAAACCAGAGCTCCGCATACTGGAACAGATCATCAATGCGACTCAATGATCCAGAACTTTTCATTTGGAGTTGGCATCGATCTTGAAAACGAGAGCCAGGGGTGACCATGAAGAGGCAATCCTCTATTTTTTTTTGCCCCCCCAAAAAAAACGTCTGGACTTCAAGGTATTGGTGACAAAGCATGGTTTCAATAAGAAATAATAACACTTCTTATTGCGCAAAGATGGTTACCAAAACATAATGTGAGATGAGCGAGAACCGACCATTTATCTACCACTTATAAACCTACCGAGAAATATTTATAAAGGTTTATGAGGAGAGCCTGGGTCAACATGAGCTACACTGCAACCTGGTGCTTTCTACTGTACATAGGAGTTTATGACTGTTGCTATCATTTATTTGGGTGTGTACGTTTTATGACCGTGGGATTAAGTTGACACTTTTCAAAGCTATCATGTTTAGTTTTTCGTCTTTGTATTTTTACATTTTTAAAACTTTTAATTTGTTAAAAGTTTTAATTTGTGGTTCTGTATTTATGATGTTTATTTATACCTCGTTTGTGCAAGTGATGTTTTTCTTTGTAGTGTAAAAGGTAAACATATTTAAACGGGAAAAAAGTAGCATGAACAAATGATGATAACCATAGTGACCAATTATTTTCATGTGCTTGTGCTATTCGTGCACAGTATTAATATATAAAGTCGACATTATATGTTAGCTCTTATGTCATAATAGACTCCATGACAAGACGAGACCTCATACGTGTCCTGAAAAGTTTAGTATAAATAGACTTGGAGACGTGTCCCATTCCTTGTGTTTCGGTTTGTTTGATGACTACAGCTTTGCAGCTTTGATTTGAGTTTTGTTCTAAAGTGGCCGCATTCCCATATAATAGCAATAACATGTGATAATCAGGTCACATCAGGTGACAATCATTCATAAATAAAAGGGGAAAAAATGCATTTCATCAATCCTACCAGCTCTACAGATCAATAGTGGCTGCTCTCGCACTTTTAAGATTTGTTCCAGAATACTCCATTTATTTCATTTCTTTGTTTAATTGCTGTTAGATTTTTTCTTGTAAACATATATATAGTCCTAATTTTAAACTTGTCCTAAGGACAGTACACATACTTCACTCTGAGTACTTAATCGAGTTGTTCGGCAGTCAAATTTTTGTGTATTATTAACCACTAAATTTTATTATTGTCTGTCCCAAGAAAAGTTTACGTTTACCTTAAAGTAAATATTAAAAAAATAATAATAATTTAACAATAATGTTAAATGTAATCGGAAATCAATATCCTTTTTTATACTGTGCATTATAATGTTGTGATGCCGAAATTCACTTGTAGCATTTTAAAATACGGATTCTTGTTTTTAGCGTTTTATTTTTAATTCATTTAGAAAACACATGATTTTAATATTGGCCAACCATTATGAAAATAATTATTGCCAGATCTGTACTGAACATTATCTGTTACATACAAGTGCTCCCTTTTTAATAAACCAACTACTTTTACTAACTTAAGAAATTAGGACTTAGTGGTCATGCCTTAAGGAACTGAAATAAAATATACCAAAAAATAAGGAATAAAGTAACAGAGAACATAGCAGCAGTGGTTAATGAGGTTAAAAAACTCTTACATGACAACTCTGAGCTTTTAAAAAAAAGTTAACCCAAAAAATAAAAATTTGCTTCAAATTTACTCACCCTCAGGCCATCCGAGATGTAGAGGATTGCTTTTATGAAAACAGATTTGGAGAAATTTAGCATTAAATCACTTGTTCACCAATAGATCCTCTGCAGTGAATGGGTGCCGTCAGAATGAGATTCCAAACAGCTGATAAAAACGTCACAATAATCCACAAGTAATGTATTGTGAAGTGAAAAGCTGCATGTTTGCAAGAAACAAATCCATCATTGAGGCGTTTTCAATGTCAGCCCTGTTGCTTTCAACTAAAATATGAGTCTTCTATCTATAACATTGCTTTCTCCGGTGGAAAAGTCATCTCATCTGAATCAGGAGAGAAATAGGCACAGATCAAGCACTGGTTACAAGCCAAAACAAATTATGTTGGTGGATTTTGATGTGAGAAGACAACAGGGGATGGACTTTTCACTGGAGGAAGCATCATTATGGATTATGGACGTTATTATGTATTTTGGCCAGAAGAGATCAAACAAACTCATCTACATCTTGGATGGCCTGAGGGTAGATTTTCATTTTTGGGTAAACTATTACTTCAAACACACACAAAAACCAGTATAAGCCAAACTTTGAATTAACTACATATTTTATTTGCTCTTTTAAATTGGAATTACAGTGGACAGAGTAATAGTATAATCATAATACAAAATAAATCACAGTACAGTGCAGACAAAAAAGAAAAAGTTCTCGAGGCAATACGTGAAAGATCCGACAGTCAGAAAAGTAATATCCAGGTAATCTTACTAGGACACACCAGTTATGTGCAGTGCATGGGCAGGTCATAGTTGTGCCATCTGTACCCTCACATCATTGGCACTGGCCCCCGTTAGCACCAGAGACCCCTGCCTTTAAAGAACAGTCATACAATCAGAATCAGGGTCCTAAACGAGCACAAGCAGACCCTGACACGTGTATAATCACCAGGTCTTTTCCTTTTGATGGCGGTAAGTACTGTATTACCTCGATGTGCTGCTTAGAAGACCTAGAGTTTTACCTTATGAGATACAGGAGACTAAAAACAGTAAAATGACTCACATGCACTTTTGTCGTTTCGTTCGGTTCAGTCTGATTCACTAATTACACTGCAGCCTTTAAGGGCCTTCAATTCCACCTGGAATGTGTTCTGACACTGCTGAGAATGATCGTAGCAAACTATGTTGTTTCACCTAGGGCTGGGGTAATTAAAGTCAGGGGGATCGATAATCAAAGTGAAATTTCCAGCAAATAAATGACTTCAGGGTTGCAGACTAAGATGCTGAGGTCTACAGTATTCCTCAGCTACGAGGTCACCCGTGGTGACCGTTATATAACATGCATTATTAGTTCAGTCTTTACTGATATTTTATGTCACACTGAGTAAGTTTTATTAGACAGCCATTAAGCGAAGACGAGCATCACAGCTTGTGGTAGTTTCCCCATCTGCTGGACTCAGGACAACGACTTTTTCGTAGGCTAAAACATATAATACATTCATAAATTATCACACTGTGTCTTAACATTTAAGAGTCCCACCACTTCGCCCCGAAGACTAAAGGCTAACAACTCGATTCAAGTGACTACCACAGAATAAATACAAGTTACAGGTCTTAAGATCATTAACTATGTAGTGGCGCTAAGTCAAACCGGGAGAGATTCAGTGCATTCAGTGCAAAAACGAAAAGAAAAAGTATCCAGTCTATTCCCTAGAGTGCTCTCATGGGATGTAGCCGTTCACCGCTGCGTGTTTTTCTTGTTCCGACTTTAACGACAGAGCGTGACCTGCAAAAGTACAATGGGTTCGAGGTTGTGACGAGAAGAGAATGTTATGTTTAGTCTCTATTCCCTCGTTTCATACTGAATAGGTCTGTGGTAGTGTTTCGAAGAGAACTTGTGCCTGTTCGCTGAAGTACTTTTCCCCTCTTTTTGCATTATCAATTATTGTTTCTACAAATTGAACTTTTGCTATATGTAGACAAGGGCTGGAATACAAAAAAAAAAAAGGTTTGTGTTAGACTACATTACAGTTTGCACCGGCACGGGTAGCTGAAGAGGTGCTGCGTTTTAAGCTCATGCGTGAAGGCGTCCGTGTGTGTGATGTTCCATCAGAAAAAAAGGCACTAAAACCACTATTCTACCTCGAAGCACGTGAAGGTGATGACAGCACGGTAGCTATATGCCTTAAGGCCTCTTCCACTGGCCTGATGGTGAAATCAAGAACGTGACGCGATGTTCCCCGTGCCAAGTGCGTGAAGGGACTGTACATGCGATGTAAATCATACTTGGAAGATGGCTGAAAGGTGAAGCCTGTGGTCTTTGGGCCCTAATCGTCATCTAACATCTATCAGGTACATCATCTCTCTACAATCACATTAAATATAGCAAAACCTCCAATACTGCACGTTTCTCCCCTCCACCCCAGACACGCCAGTGACAAGGGGGCTGCTACTAAAGACATACATAAACGAACCTCACACGTTTGCGAATGAAATTATAATATATATAAGACATTTCAGTGAAGATCGGCACAAATGATTATTAAAATTCTGCAATATAAAAGCCTACCATGGCAGGAAAAAGAAAAAACAAACAAACAAACAAACAAACAAGCTTAGTCCAGACTGCAGGTGGTGACCCTTTGAGATTCCAGCTTTTGGAACCAGCCTCTGTGCTCAAGCCTAGTTGTGCAGCTGCATCTCAGACCCAAAGCAGTCTTGAAGAGGAGGGGAGGAGGGGGTGTTGCAGGTGGGTGGTTGGAGGAGGGTACGGGACAGGACTGGTGCCGCTAGATGCTCTGGCAGCACTGCATCTTTGGTTTATTCTCAGTAGGTTGCACCTGGATGGACACCACATTGTTGCTTGGTGACATGTCATTGTCTCGGCGGTCAGACATCTGCTTTTGGGACACGATCCGGTAGATTTCTGCAGAACAGAAAGAGATATTAATGCTAAGACGTTGCCAACAATCCAGGAACTGGTAATGAATACGGACTTTGTGTTGCCATAAAAGCCTATAAACCCTACAGTTATTACTGGATGTCAGGGGCGAACGCAATTATAGCATTGCAACGGACTGCGATGCTTTTGAAACATTTATTATTTGTTCCTCCTCTGCAGATGCCAGGAGCCGAACAGAGGAGCAAAAGAAGACCGAAACTCTCTATTGCAGTCACGTCAGGCTAGAGAAACCTAGCCGATCAAAGCAGGGCTTTTGATGAGTCATTCATAAGGATATGGCCTTCAGCCAATCATTTACAATCTTTCTTTTCCTTTTCGACAAACACACAGTCGCTTCCTCAAGCTTGTTTAGTGCAGATTTCCTTATTCATGCATTCCTCATTACAAAAATAAAAAAGTTTATCATCCTTCAAAGCACACTCACCAGTCAGGATGGTCTGAAAAGCGGTCTCTACATTAGTGGAATCCAAGGCTGAGGTCTCTAGGAAGGACAGACCATTTTTCTCTGCAAACATGAGGGGACATACATTAATGGACATGGTAACAATTAACAAAGTACACAAAGAAACTAAAGAAGCCCTGGCTATACACACTTCCTGTAATTTATCAGGAGTTAAAGGTCTACTTGTAAGAGTTTACTGTGCATCCAACCTGCAAATGCACGTGCTTCGTCGGTGGGCACAGCCCGAAGGTGACGCAAGTCGCTTTTATTGCCCACGAGCATGATGACTATGTTGCTGTCTGCGTGGTCTCTCAGCTCTTTAAGCCAGCGCTCCACATTTTCATAGGTCAGGTGCTTGGCGATGTCATACACTAGAAGGGCCCCAACAGCTCCCCGGTAATACCTGTAGACCAACATGGGTA